GTATAAAACTCTGTAGCGTTTGATGCCCTTTCACAAGCGTATATGTTTTGTCAGTCAGATGTTTACCATGGCCAAACAAGTGATAATTAATAAAACTGCGTGAATTTATGTGCTGTAGGAGAAAACCGAAAAACTTGTATTACTGTCAGTGCACTTTGCTGTAGTTTGTTTTGCAATTGTGGAGGTGCGTACATAACTGCTACGTGTGACTTCAACGACTTTTCTTGCCCTCCTTCAAATCAACCCTCGTGTCACTGGGTGACAGTTCAACAAACCTTACCGTTAAGACTGGAGTGTGCCCAGTGCGCCGAGGATCGTTTTACGCGAAAAATAATTGCCATGACTTTGTGGTGAGATGTGGTGACTGAATAATTGCTTCCTGAAAGTAATTTTAACAAGGTGGTGGGAGAGGTGAATCCTCCAAAAGACGAATGCTCCGTCCTGTTGAGGGAGTCTTAGACAAGGTAAAAAAAGAACTGTCACTGTGAATAAAAATACAGATGGATCAATGCAGTTAACGTGTAGACGACAAAATTAATTATTCTAGCTTAAATTGACCACGGAAGTGATGATGGGGATCAATCAGGTTTACTTGCAATTTATTTATAGATGACATTGGCCTCTACTCGCTCCTTCTCACCCAAAGCAATGAATCGTATATATTGAGCGTATAATTTTGGCATAAAGTGGGAAAAGTGTTTACTTGTGAGAGAAGTTGAGAGTTTAATGGGGAAACGAAAGCACCTCCGGGTACTCTAAACCTTGGTCCTGATATCTGTCCGCATCGTGTAGCCTGGAGGGCCATCTGTCGTTGAGGGGAGTGATCAAATGTAAATCTCCCACACCTCTTCCTCCTTCAACTCAGTTAACTTCCACCTGATTGCTGACACTGTTGAACTCAGTACACATCCCACCATAGCGCATGTTGGGTGAACACGAGGTGTGGAATCCGAGGTGGAAGGCGAAGGTGAGGTAAAACGAGGTGGCCACAACCACATTTTCCCATTCGCATCCATGCTATTTTAATCAATTAGTTTCCAGTTTAAACAAATTCCTCCTTCATTCCATTGTCTCAGTAAATGTTCAAAGGCAGGTTGGAATTTGGCCACTGTGATTTCGCACTTGAGATAAACAAATTTCTTATCGTAGCTCTGCCACATAACACTTTCTGGACTGAAAATTAATGCCATTTTCCCGCCTCTAAGGCCATCCTATTTCCTATTTTCTCTCAAGTTTTAGCAGTCAGTGGCCCAGTTGGTGAAACACTCCTATTTTGCTTGACCTCTAAAACGGTTTAGCCGATTGGGGCGCCCAAGAGACCTACAACAGTGATGGGAGGTTTCTGCAAAGACTTAGTGGGAGGTCCACCATTAACGCCACTACTTTGTCGTGATTAATGACGACTGAGGTCGCCGAAGGCGGTTGTGAGGACCGAGTAATGTCACCAGACTGGATTTTAGAAAAGGTGGGCCAGTTAAAAGGACATCTCTTACCCCTTATTTGGTGCCTCTGCTTGAAAAACTCGAGGCTTCAGACTTCAGTAAACGCTTTTCTTTCTGCAACCTCGCACTTGAGAAGCCTGGCTTGGGTTTCGGCTTAAATATCACTTATGAGTTCTTAAGGGCTTGTTGTAGCGGAAGAGGAACGGTCCAAGACAAAAACTCGAAGTGTTCAAATGCAGGCAGAAAAGGTGACAACATCGACAGTGCCAGTCAGTGCAGGGCAAGTTAAAAGCGCTTAACTCCACTTCTAAAGGCTGCAGTCAAGACCTCCGGAAGGCACTTTGAGAGGCGTATGGAGAGATCCGAAATGCTTGATAGGCTTTATTGCTGGCTCCAGCTAAGGTGGCAAACGCGGTTCTGGCGGCGATCCAACTGAAGTGCTTTCTTTGCTCTTCCCAACAGCCTCAGATTTGATTATTACCTCCTCATGAAAACTGATTTATTGAGGAGAAAAAGGAGGAATAGAAAGAACTGAGAAATCATGGCAGTTAAGAAGATTTACCAAAAAAGAATCCACATTGACGGGTGCTCCCTTGTTGGGACTCCTCACCAGGAATGCGGTTTGACAATCTCTCTGACTGCCGAATAGGCAGCGTACGCAATCAGTCTCGTCTAATGGCACGATTGACAGGTCTGTACACCATTCTTCGAAAGCCTTGCTTTCATTTGTGGCCCTCTGGCCATTTGCACACGCTTGCACAATCACACGCACCTTTGACGGTCACAGCACATCATGACCGGAACATCCTCGTTAGCACGAATTCTGAGTTCAATGTCCACACACTGCAAGTAAACATCTCCTTCGGTCGATTTCAACTGCGATCACTGCTTGCACACGAAACCCACTTCAACGATGCTTTGTTTGTTGGTTGCAAAACCGATTGACTTCACTGTTTTGCGGATAGGACCAAGTCATCGCCATTGTACACTCTACCCTCCTCGCATTTCGGAACCAAATGGAAGGTGGTTATATTTCGGGTTCAAGGTTTGTTGCGTATCTGTTAGTCGATTGGTTAAAAAAACGTCTTGTAAAGGAGGCACTCGACTGTTAATTATAAGGACAATTTGTTCTTGAGACCGTTTGTCCATTGTTTTGCTTGCTGGCTGCATTCTAAGGTACATCCGAACAAGTAACAAGGGAGCAGCCTGAAGGATCGCTACTTCATCTCAAATTACTCGCTAATGGGTCAGAGCGCTGAAGCAACGCAGAGGAGGTGAATTTGTGCTTAATGCATGGCTTGGTAATACAGTAAATAAGTCCCTTAAATGGCGTCCCTAGGCCTTATGCGGCACATCTCTGACAGCTTTCCCACCTCATTTGCGTTTCTCACCTATCTAAATGCGTTGAAATGCTTTGAATAAGGCGTTCAATTTTAGGTTCAGTTCTGCACTCGACCACACCATTCTTTTGCCCATCGCTACAACTCTAAAACACTATTTGATGAATTGTGACCATTCTGCATTCAAATACAAATACAAATACAAAGTTTGTAAATTTTGATACAATCCTACTTATTAAAGGCTTTAGTAGCATATTAATTACACGCTTTTACCAGGGATGCAAGGTTCTTTTGTTTTTACCCTTTCAATAAATTTACCTTTGATTAAAGAACTATTCACGGATTTATTTGTAGCGTTTTCTTCCTCCCCTTTCCACTGTACCCTTTTGCCTACTGTCCAAGTCAACTCTGTCCATGGCCCAAAGTTATCAAACCGTTCATTTCCGAATAAATGCAGACTGTCATCTGGAGGTCAGAGCAGCATTTGGATAGGATGAAGGAATGGGGGTGAGGTGGCATAGAATGGAATTCCCTTCTGGAGCAAGTTTGATGGCGACGTAATTTACGGAGTGCAGAGTGAGTGAGTCGAAGCACGTTTTCTGCCTACTTAAGTAGAATTTTCTCCCTCACGGCTCAAATCTCAACGATTGGGTGGAGCGAGCAACTCCAAGGTGTGACTGCTTGACCAGTAGCAAGTTGAACTCAACGTTTCCATCACTAACGCACACACGAAGAAGTGATGTCGTGCATTCCTCGAGAGTGTGGAGTGCTTGGTTTGGATCGAACCAAAGACATGATAAGGCCTGACTTGCAATTCGGGTGCTTTTGTTCTGGTCTTGTAAAGTACAACAGTCTCTTTCTGCTTGCATTCCCTGTCAAATGTCCCAAGCCAATGAGGGTTGTAAGGATGGGAGGACGAGGGCAGAAGAGGACCAAACCTCACTCAAGCGCCGTTTCCTTTTCCAGAATCCCTGACCGCTCTCCTGCAGATCTCCTCCGACATGCGCAAGGAACTGGTCCTGTCGATAATCGTCTTTACCATTGGTGTGACCCTTGGTTTTGGCGGTACCTCCAGTCTCTTCAGCAGTTCCTACCTTACCACGGCTTTTCTTGTCTTCGTGGTGGTGCTTACTGGGGATGCTATCTTTTATAATGCTGGATTGTATCCACTGGGTAAGTAGGAGCAGTGAAATCTTGCTTGTGCTGCAGAGCGGAGGCATCTCCATGCGCTGGAGGGCGATTTATGCCCACGTGCTTGCCGGATACTTCAAAGCCTCTGCACTAGCATTCTTCAAGCCTTGTAGCAAAAAGACGTCTTATTCAGTCTTTCGCATGAATTGCTTGTTCGAAAAGTGAGAACTATGTAGTTTTAGCTAAAAAGAGAGCTCTGAAGCCCCACTTGCAAAGTAAAAACACTGCAAAGGCAACTAGATACCAACAATTTCCTTGCACTGGTTAAAATTAAGTAGTCGCTAGATTGACTTCAAACTCTGCGCTTTGGTAAGTTTGTTAGCCCTTTTAGGCGACTGTGAACGGATTGTCACCCTGACTGAATGTCAGCGAGTGCAAAACAACACAATTCCAGTTCTCTCATTTCGATCACTTCCCGCCATCTTTCATGCCGTGGAAGAGTTTGACAGTGAGTTTACCTATCAGCAATAAGGCTTTTGACGACCTCGGCCAATTCAAAGCACTTCTTCAATGTCCACCACTTCACTAAACGAGCCCACTTCGGATTTCACTTTAAAAAGCATTTAAACAATTAAAATACAGTCTATTCAATGTGAATATGTGAGAGCAAAAATGCTACATAGTTTTGATATATTTGTTGTTTAGTCCAATCTACTGATTTTGTATTTCAGCGTCCTTGCGTGTCGTTTTCTTTTCAGTCTATTTGACGCTCCTGCTATTGGATCAGTCATTTTGGCAGGGAATATTGAGTTCTGAACCTGAAACCAGTGGATTTAACCTAATAGCCAGCGGATTTTTCTATCTTCCGGTGGGGGCTGTCTTCGGCACAGCCTGTGGATTGGGCTACTTTGCTCTCAACATGAGTTATGGACAAGTCATGCTCTCAGACCTGATGGAGCGTTTAGGCAAGTTCAACACCTCCTACACAGTTTTTGTTAGTCATTAAGTCAACGCTGGCATAAGTCAGAGTGAGTCAGAGAGTCAGAGTCAGAACTCTCAAAAGAGGCTGGACAAGGAGACCTCTGTGCCATCAAAGTAAGGATTGAGAAAGAGGTGACTGGAAGTCTCCATGTTCTTCATTATGCTCTAAGGAGGGTTAAAATTTCAAGCCAAAAAGTGCTGAAACGTGCGTTGTTCAATCATATTTCAAAACTCAAAGTTTCATAAGAAGTTTTGGGTCTGGAAGGCCTTATTACTTGACGGTCGTCTTGAAAGCATACTGTGGAGTTATGCCTAGAAAAATTAATTTGCCCCACAATTATTGCGTTTGCCTCTGATATGTTTAGTCACTAATCTTGCCGAAACTGTAGAAATATGCCTCAACTGCCAGTAGTGTACCCCCTCAACGGTCTCGGAAGTGCTGTGAAACTGCGAGAACTCGCAGCCACCGGCACTAAGATTGAAAGGCCAGACACCGAAATCATCAATGCATTCTTATGGCATGCCAACACGGCGGTCGATGTCTTTGTCACACTGCCACCATTACGAAGGTGGGGTAGCGTTTTTTTTTTTTTACAAGTGGTGGGGCTTTTGAAGTGCCTCTCTTTTTATGACTGCAGGTCTTTTTAGGGAATATTTACTGCCTAAATCAGCATTTCTGTGTTGATAGCCTGTCTGCCAGACAGGCGTGTTTTAAACCCAACACATCAAACAAAATCCCCGTCTTTTTTTGGTGTGTGTGAGTGCGAAATCACAGGACAAAACTTTTCCAGCCTGAAGCAGTAGTGAGACGAAAAAAGGGTTTTCCACCCGCATGGATGGGGGCGGTGAGACCAATCACCCTCGGTAGATGCCAACACGACTCCTCAAAAATTGAAACTGGGGCACGTTGCCATCGCATCCTGGACAGCCTTGTAATGGTCTTCTCTGGATGGTCCACTGTTTGCGTCCCTCTCGAAGAGCATCAGACAGGAAAGATGTCATTAGAGCGCTTTTCGCGTCACCTTAATGTTGATGACATAAAGACTGGCCTTTTAGAATCGAACTCGTTCCTTTCACTCATTAATGTGTCTCTCGTAACTCGCAGTGGTTAGCTACAGGATGCGTCTAGAACGCCAATAAAGTAAAGTATATCTTGTGCGACTCAAACACCCTCCAATGTGACTTTGAGACTAAACAACTGCTCTTGAGTTCCTTTTAACTTTGTACTGCATTCTCCAACAAGACGTCATTTCTTTCCAGGTCTAATAGGTTACTCTGTGTTGGAGTTCATCTTTGGTCGCTTCGGACCCGTCCTCTTCAACACTATCATAGTGTGTACGGTGACATCCTGCACTTGCTCGGAGGTGATATCCATCAGCACCATCTTTGTCGTCGATGTCTACATGACCTACATTCGGGTACGTCCACTTCTAATACTTGGCAAGGAGGTGAGCACACTGACCGGACAGCCAAGTTGCCACAGCCTCTGTAAGGCGGTGGAGGGCGCAGACTTAAATGAGCACGATCTTCTGCCCCCGCTGTCACTCGTTTGTGAGCCAGTTTGCAGCCATAACTACAGGTGTTGTGGTGGGTTGAAGAAAGCTTTATGAAGGCAGGCATCAGATCAGTCCTCTTTGCCGTTTCTAATCGCCACGACACACGCAAAAACTTGTTGCTGAACTGTCGAGGGTCCGGTTACATGCTTTGTGCCTGATGCCATCTCTCCAGTGTGGCTACTGTGAAGCACGGACACCGAATGGGCAGGGTGCACGTCTCCTCATCCACTCCTCCGTGTCGCTGTATTAGTTGCGGTTCGCCTGTTTGGATGAGGCGTTAGCGAAGAGGTCTGGCTTGGACTGATGTGTTAGAACGAATTAGCTCTCTCGCCGAGCAAGGCTGGATGTAGCATTTCGAGTTCGTCCCGAAGTCGTCACGAAGGTAGCGACACACGTGTTTGATCTTTACCGCATAATACTTTCTGTCAAACGTGTACCATCATCAAAGTCTACCGCGCAATCACGATTAGCAGACATCAGAACGAGGAGGAGTCAGAGAAACAATTACAACGTCTTGGACTTCTTCTCTCAATTGAAAATTAGATTGTGGAAGAGGAGTGTCACCAAACTTCCAACCGATTTTCCACCCTTTCAGCATTCATCTTTGCTTTAAAAGTGGTTAAACATGTTTTTTGGAGTAATTCTAATGCAATACTTTATGCTCCAGCCATTCAAGAAGACAAAGGAGATGAACAGTTGTGTCTTGTGCGGACTGAGACGCGCTCGCAGCGGCGAGAGTAAGGAGAGGTGTCGCTGCAAAAGTATGGCAGCCTGTGTCCACTGTCAAAGGGATGACAAGTAAGTCCTCGTTTCTCAAAGACTTTTACACTTTCTACTCTTTTTCCTTTTTCCTTCACTTTACCATTTCAGTCAGCAGAACTTTTCAGGCGGTACAATTTCTCGTCTCCCTCATAAAAAGGCGATTTAAGTAGTTCGAAAATATGCAAATTTACTTCCACTTTTGTTTTGACAGACAAAATTATCGTCATATCAAATGGATCGGTAGATGGGACTTTTTAATACCCATTTAGCAATTTTAAAGCTTTAGTGATATGTCTGCAATTTTAAGAATACTGTTTCTTGCCTTTGACCCATCGCTCGGTGAACTTTTACACCTCCACTGACCTCTTTTGCCGAGGTTGTCTCCGGGTGGGTTTCTCCGCCTAAACTCTTGCTTTCCACCTCAGACTACTTGGAAGTAAGTCAAATAAGGGGACAGCAGCGCCTAGTTTTGCAAAGAACAGAGCAAACTTCATCGTTTGGAGATGCTGTAAAGGGAACAAAGTAGAACCTCCAGTT